GCTCCCAGGATAGAGTTTGCAAGAAGAAAAAAAAAAAAAAAAAAGCCTCCACACACACACACACACAGAGAGAACCTCAGTCACAGAGAGTCAGGCTGCCCTATCAGTGTGTCGCTGTTACAGGGGCTGTCCTTCCTGCTCTACAGGCTTGTTCCCAGCTTCAAGTCCCTGACACTGGAGGCGGGACACAAGGCTGCACCAGGCACAAGACATTCCCAAACACAAGATGCACTCTTTCTGCTGTCCCTTTTACCTCCCACAATACTGGCACATCCGAGTCCCGGCACCGTCCCATCACAGATATACCACTTATGTACACTGTATCTGTTCTCCTCCACTTACATAGCTCCAACATCTTCCACGGCGCTGTACAAAGTGAGCACATACAGAGGCTTTTCTAGGTACTTAACACTCACAGCAATACAGGAAACAATGGACAGCCCTTCTCATAGGTACCATCTATGAATACATATGTTTGTGAATTCAACCGTATCAGAAAACCAAATAGTTACAAAATGTATCCAAAGTCTTTTTTATCACAGAAAGCGGAGCTGATAAAAAGTGACAATTATAGATGGAAAAGATAGAGACGTTTTCACATCTATTGCACTTCTGAGACATTAATAAATTCCAAATGTCTGTAATACGCATAAAATGCAGGTGCAGAGAGTTCCCGGCAAAGTGTGGTGTAAAATCTCACTAAGTAAGAGATTACATTATAATAATCTATCCCCAGAGCACTTCATCAAATAAATACATTGGGATAAACTGCAGCTTAATCTTCCCTGTCCACGGGAATGTAAAGGGGGCTGGAAATGCTATCACATTGCAATATTGGGGTATAAATCGTTACAACCACTTTGTGCCCAAAAAGAACCAACACTGTGTGTGAGGTGTTACTTGTTGCTGTACAATGACATATATGTCAGTGTAAAGAGTAAGGATGATGTGCACAGCAGTCAATCCCTATTCACTACAGCCATGCCAGATCAATGGTAGAGGATTGCTCTTTGGTTGCTACGGGTTACTGCAGTTTTTGCACTGCTCTTTGCTGCATAAAAGGCTGCAAGTTGTTGTCGTTCCGTTCACTCTTACAACCAGTGTATGTTACCTCCAGTCTTTATTTCCGTTTTCACACAGGGTTATAACTAAGACCACAACATCCTGTATTATGACATTGCAGTCTGATTATTTATCAGTCATGGAGCTGTTTCTGTATCAGGGACTTTGCCAGGCAGAGGATGCCTCCATCTTTCATTCTCTCAGGGCGGGTTCCTGGTTGCTGTGGGCAACAGACCTCCATGTCATATGGGACCCTGACTGATATGTGTTTATTGTGGTTGTGGTGGAGGCTGAACATGTTACAGGGAAGGATTTGTGTCAGTTGCATTCAGTGTGTTTTGGTACAAATATTTTCCATATTCAGAATTAACTGACAAACTTTCATTTTCATTTCTACGAGCTGAAGCCTTGAAGCCTTATAATGGGCAGTGAAGGGTTAACAATCAACTAAGTCATAGTTATGTTCTGAACTACATGCAGTCTACTGAAGACATAAACAGCTCTAGATATTCTCTCACCCCCCCCGTGCAGGCTGAACCAGACATCAATCAATTGCCCCAACATGCTAACAACATAGATGGAGGAGTCCAGAGCGTTGGCTATTGTATTCAAAAGCTGCGGCACCCACGGCCGCCCGAATCCCCGAACAGTGACTACATCTGTTAGGATCATTTTCCACCCGGCTCAGATGATTTTGCAATCAACCTTTGTTGTGCTGAGCCACCCACCGCTCAAATTTCAGCCAGTTCAGTGGGAATTGTCCAATATTCAGGCCGTACACTGTTATATATTTCTGTTATATCAACCTGCAAGCTGAATGATAAAAATATAACAGATTCCCCCATCCACGCTACACAGTGTGAATCAACAAATCTCACGCTGGGATATTGAATTCTAACAGCGGCGGGGGTGCCTCTGTCAGAATAACCAGTGGCGGCACCTGATTGGCTACCATCACAGTTCGCCCCAAAAAAGTTTCCAACCGGCTCCTTCACTGTTCTGATTGAAGGAGGCCGGGTGCAAAGGGGCTGACAGGGGCCGTCCACTGAGCGCATTTAGCTGGTTGTGAATAAGGCCCCCATCTTTATCCTATGCTTCCCTTTGTTGTCTCACAGCTTAGTGGTAAGAGGGTTACAGTATTATAAGGAACAATAATCTATAATGCACAAAACTAACTGCTGTTTAAAGGAAATTTCTGATAAGAGAAACAAGGAGGGTGCTGTTGCTAATCTCTACTTCTGAAAATGCTAGATGCTTGGCTGTCATGCTGAGCCCCTGGCTTCCATACTTTGATTACCTGACCTCGAACAAGCACGTCTGACTTTTTCTGATCTGCGTCAGCGACATCGGGAATATTGGAGCCGGCAGGTCAGTATATCAGCCAAGCAGTTAGCATTTTTGGAAAGAGCTCAGCAAAGACAGCCCCCATATTTCTTAACACTAGCAGACCTGATGTCAACAACTCACTAGCAACAGGAAGAGTGCAGAGGGAGTGCTCATCTGTTCCTATGTCCTCGCTAATGTTGCTCTGACTTTGATCCAGATTCTCCAGCGTTGTGGCCAGTGACAGAGCATTGCCGTAAGAGCAGGTAAGGGCCTCTGAAGCGATTTTAGGATCAATGAATAATCCTGTCGGGATCCCTTACATGCCACTTCCTGCCATTGCACTCCACCATTGAATTCCTGGTTGCCTGGCAGTCATGCTGATCCTCTTGTTTTAATACTTTGAGTCATTAAACTGGAACTACTATGTAGATAAGGAGTTCTGACTTACCTTGCTGCATACTCATTTGGGCCAGAGGATCAGAATTACAGTCAGGCAACTAACATTTCAAAAATCATCCTGCATATGTTTCCGATGTCAGGTTTTCTTTGATGTCAGAAATACAGGGGCTGCCATGTCAACCCGTCCTGAAAATGCCAGTTGTCTGGATGTCATTCTGACCCTCTGCCTTCAATGCTGTAAGCATTTCGACTGAATCGACCGAAATTCAATCCGTAGCTGGCCCTGCAAGCACCACCTGGCTTGCCAAAAAAAAAAAAATCGACTAAGCTGGGTGCAAAATGATTGGCCGCACGGTGACTGCGTCCTATCAGATGCCTGAATACAATAGCCATCAGTGCAGAGTCCTCCATCCATGCCATGAATGGCCTCCTCTCCTCAGCATGTCATAGCTATCAGTGATGGGTACAGACACAGACTCCGCTTAGTGCCTGCTGCTTTTAAAGATAAGTGGGCACAAATAATTCTGTGTGTCTGGATTATGAGATCAGCCATCGTAGCGGACCTCCCAATATCACCCAATACCACCCAATATCACCCAATACCGCCCAATATCACCCAATACCTCCCAATACCTCCCAATACCACCCAATATCACCCAATACCTCCCAATACCGCCCAATATCACCCAATACCTCCCAATATCACCCAATACCTCCCAATACCGCCCAATATCGCCCAATACCTCCCAATCCATCCCAATATCACCCAATACCTCCCAATACCGCCCAATATCACCCAATACCGCCCAATATCACCCAATACCTCCCAATATCACCCAATACCGCCCAATATCACCCAATACCACCCTAAATCGCTCGATACCACCCAATATCGCCCAATACCTCTCAATATCGCCCAATACCTCTCAATATCACCCAATACCGCCCAATATCACCCAATACCTCCCAATATCAGAAACAATATTGATCCGTTATACTGATTTATTGATTTTAACAGAACTGCGTTATAAAGGACAGAAAAGTTATTTAGACCGAAGTTCTTGTGCTAATCAGATGATATTTATATTATAAAGTGAACTGATATCACAGCCAACGTTCTTTTGGATTCTACATTAATACACCAGGTGCTTCTTCCACCAAAAATAACATTTACACCAATGTGCATGTACTTCGGGGGAGAGGGCGGAGTCAGAATTATGACTTTTACACAAAAAACTGACCACTGGGGGAGCTGTAACTAGGGAGTGTAAAGACACATAGAGAGCTATTCACTAAAGGGTGAAGAGTTTGGAGAAGTGAACAATCTAGGACAACATAGAGGGTTATTCACGAAGGATCCAGCCGTAGCTTCTGCTGATCCTTCGGCTCTCTTTAGCCACCTCTGCCCTTCGAACTGAACTGAAGGGCTGCTGTACGGGGTATTCAATATAGTCCATCACGGCCGGCTCCGCCCAGTTGTTGTTCTTCGGCCAGGACCTGCTAGAAGGCTCTAGCAGTTGCCGGTCAATAGGAAACAGTACGTCGGAGCTAGCTGCCACTACTAGCACCGCCCAATTGGTTTTTTTTTTGTTCGGCTGACCGAAGTGCAGCCAATGTACGGCTGAAATCAGCCGTACAAGCCAGAATTGAATAGCCGAACAGCGTTCGGCTCCCTTCATTTCCGCTGGGTTGTTCACTCGGCTGCCTTCGGGAGCTTTGTGAATAACCCCCAAAGATTCTCCAATTCAGCTCACTTTCCAGTTCAGCTATGTTGTCCTTGATTGTTCACTTCTCCGGCCTTCTCCAAACTCTTCACCCTTTTGTGAATAGCCCTGTATAACACCGATGGTGGAGGAGCACACACAGGGGGGATTTTAGTAGTTCAGTCACATTACTTAGATCAATTAGCGATCAATTGCTACATTGATGAAATAAATGTACGTCTATGGTTTT